TGCACTGTGCACTTGACAAGTCCTGGCCGTGACGCGCGACGCGTCTGCACTGCCGGCAGTCCCATACCCGAGTTCCAGCGCGCGTGAGCAGCACACGAAAAAAACAAAATGACAATTGCTTTGGCAATTGCTCGCACAGCTCTAATCAAAAATGAGCCACACTCGCCTTACTATATGTGTCAGCTCGATTGGACTTTTCTGTGTACGGTGGCACAGTCGTACTAGGAGAGCGGTGCGAACTCTAGTTCGTGGGCTAGGGGAGTGGCCGGTGGTGGATATGTATTACTTTGGTGGATTGAGTCTTTCCTAGGAAGCGCGCTTCCTTCAAGGAGACGTTATCCTATCCAAGAAGGAAACGCGGCTTGGCAGGGGGGGGGGGGGGAAATTTTTTGTGCGCCTTTATTTTTTTGGGGGGGGGGGGGGGGGGGGGGACTTGTAATGAGTTTTGTTCAGCAAGGTTGGTGACTATAGGTCCACCCCGTCCTTGGATCGTGATGAGTCTACACTAGAAAAATGTTTTTTTCCCAGGTTAAAAAAAATCATTGGTTTAAAATGAAAATGTAATAAAAATAAAGTGTTTTCCTTGAATTTAGTTTTTTTCATGACTTTAGAAAACACGTTATCTTACATTTATATTTTAGGCAAATTGCTCTAGCATAATAAGGCGATATCAGCTTGTTACAAGCAAACGAATTTCGTCGCGGAACCGCGATGGGGCGATGGGTGGCGATCTAGTACTGCCGCAGGTATTCGTCCATGCCCAAATGTGCCGGCCGTCTGGTATCGCAGTTGAGGAGTACGTCGATATCCATCATCTCCGGCACTAGACCATAGAGCGCTGCGCCTCCGCTCACGCACAAAGAGTGCCTTCATGCACCATCGCGGAATCGAGAGCACGATGGAAGTGCGTGTGAGTTGTAAGCTCCTCCCTTTGGCCGGGCCCCGTCGACACATTCAGGCCATGGCGCAGCTCCGCGTAGATGCCATTGTCTTACCACCATTGCACACGTACGTGCGCCCTCACGTGCTGCTCTCGTATTCCGCGACCCTCCTCGACCTTGGTGACGAGCAGCGCTGCGGCAGCGGCCACCCCCTGATCAGGCCCCAGCCAGCCGCAGCCAGCCCAGCCCAGCCTGACAGCCAGTTAGTCAGACAGCGAGTCAGTCAGTGGGCCAGCCGCACGAGCGGGATGGCACCAGCCTTTGCGAGGAGCCGCCCAGTGTACAGAGACCATCTGCTGGTTCAGAGTTTATCCAAGATTGAAGGAGGGCCAGCCAAGAAAAGCAAGTCCACCCAAAAGGCAGCAGTCTCCTGGCCTGCGATGTTGGGACACAAATTAGCCCCCGGGAGCTCAGGCCAAGTCGTCGCCGCGCCACGCACCTTGTCTCTTCACAATTTCGTCGTGGTTTTTTTTTTCTGCGTTCCCTCTCGTCCTTCTTGCTGGACGAGCAGAGCGCCGGGTCGGGGGGATGGGACGTAACTCCTGGACTTTTTGCTGGTAGAACGCAGGGACCTCAGGTCGATTGGTGCGCTACACGTGAAAGTCGGCCCTGAAAAGAGCCGAAAAGAGCATTTATTTTCGTACTTCACGATGCAATCAACTATATGCTAAATTTCCCCACTGCGCATTGCGCTCTATATGTCACAGCAAAAAATAATTTCGTCCCCAAGTATTTTTTGTTGTTGTTGCTTTGCTCTCGTTGGCGATTTCCGCACAGCACCGATTTATCATCGACGCCGACTTATTTTCGAGAGGCGACGCCCAGCGAGGCAGCAATCATTAATACGGGATGATGTTTACTCGAAACGGCGCAGCAGCGTGGCGCGTGTGAAAAAAATGATGAAATAGGAGACAAAATGGGCGAAGCAGGAAACGTGACGAATAATGAAAAGGAAATGTACGGAGGAAATAGCAAAGGTCAGGTGCTGCACTTTATGATGACGATGAGCTCTCACCCGCGGTGGCGAAAAAGAGCGATAGCAGGAGAACGGAATTCGTAGGCGGTCGAAGCACCGCTGAGGTTCGACGCCGGGTGGAACTTCGGAAAGCCATCAACGCTTTGGGTGTTATTTTGCTCACTCGCACGGAGGCCCATTCCTCTTGCCTCTCTCTTTTCCTCTCCTCTCTCATCACTCTCGCTGCACGTGTGCCCTGGGGGGAGAGCGGGTGAGATGGGGAGTGAGAGGACGGCCATAGGAGGGGGGGGGGGCGCTGGAGGCGGCTCGAGGCACCGCGCCGCCGGCTCAAAGTGGATTGGTGTCTCTCACTTTGATGTTGTCCGACGGAAATTCCACCAGGAAGGGTTCTTCCTTCCGGCGGAGACATTGCCACTCGTCATTGTGGGGCGCGCCAGCCGCACCTCCGGCCGGGCCGTTAATAAGCGCAGGACGCATGACAGCTGGCCCGGTAATTCGGCTCGTAAATTTCGGAATCCTTGTATTGCCAGGCGGGGCCTGGGCGGACTGGCGGCCGCACACTGCGGCCCTGTACAGCAGCTTGTTCCCTTTTATGACCTATCGACATTCCATCAAAATCGCAACACTAAAACAGCAATAAAGCAATTTTATTAGCTAACCCGGTCGGCTCGGCTGGTCCCCGGGCTGGGCCTGCTGGCTCCACCGCCAGACCCCTTTTTGGGTCCGCAGCTAAAAAAAAGGCCTTTGCCCCTCCCCGGGCCTCGAGGCCGCGGGCGGTGTGGTTGGGGGTGACTCCGACACGCCAACTCTCTCTCTCTCTCTCTCTCTCTCTCTCTCTCTCCCTCTCTCTGCATCAACCCATTCCCCTATTTCTCTCTTTCAGTCACTCGATCTCTCTCGCGCACTCCCACCCCCTCCTCACGCGCGATCCTGCTGACTCCAGTACCGGATGGTGTGTGGTATGTTTTGGTGCCCCGTCAGTTTTTGCTCCATACAAGGGCATTACTTCGCCAGCGGACCGGGGGGCGTGAGCCCGAACCAGCCGAACGCACATGCCTTTTTGCTGTCTTTTATTGCCAGGGGGAGAGTGCGGCCTGGCGCACCGTCCCACCCCGCCGCCGGCTGATCGCAGTCGCGGGCGTGTAAATTTTTCGTGTCTTTATAGAGAGTGTGCGTCAGTTAAAGGATAAAATGCAACGCACTGAGTATTCGATGCTGCAATCCCCCCCCCCCAAAAAAAAACCGTGAGCAAAGAGGAGTTATTTGAATATTGCTTCGAACTTGTTTTCTGTTCATCATAGTTTCCATGGCGGCCACCCCGTGAGCCCCTGCAACTAATAATCTTAGCTCTGATCAGGGCTCCGTAGCTTTACTTAACTGCCTTCAACGTTACTTTAGGAGTTGAAGTTATAACTTGTAACTTTTATTGTAGTCTTCGATCTAGAAATAAGTTATTTATTCGACCTGTCCAATTTTTGTCCACAGCATGTGAATTATATCGAACATTTTTTAAAATCAATGACTTCAACTTTGAATTTGACATGTGTTTTGTTGCTGAGTAACTAACATTTGTTTTGTGTTATGATAAGTTAAGGAACCCCTGGCTCATCTGAATGCTGCATAACTATGGTTCAGAGCGTTCGCGTTTACCCACAGTATGTTTCGTTTACAACATTTTCGACTTGCATTTTATCACTTTCCAGCTTGTCTTTCATATTTGGCAGATGTGAATTTTCACCCCCTTTTATTCAACGCTTGAGCGGCAAGATTCTCCGCGCGAGGTGGCATAGATTCACATGTGCCCTTGTGCGACTGCCCAACAAGAATGGCTTAGAAAGCGACACTGGAAGCCACGGAGGGCGCATTATCAGCAGAGGCAGCATGGAGACGGCCGCCTGCATTATCAGGAACAAAAGAACCCCGAGGGGGGCTCTGGACCGGGACCAGCAGGGGTTGCGGGATGCGGGGCCGGGAGGGAGGCAGTACACAGCGACCCTGATGGAACTCTCTGGATAAGATCAGGATAGACCGCTATCCAGGATCTATCCAATTTGTCTCATTTTGGACAGATCCTGGATAGACTGACTCTGTCCGAATGGCGTCCAGTAGGCATCTTATCTGTCCTCAAGGCAATCCAAGACACGTCCGCGCGTGTCCGGGGCGTCTAAAGGATTATCCGGGCGCGTCCAGGGTGCGTCCGAACGTTTCCAAGATGCGTCTGCCCGTGTCCAGGGAGCGTCGTGACCTATCCGGGACTAGTCTGGGTGGGTCCAAAATGAGTCCGGGATAGGTTCGGGCCTGTCAGTGTTGATCCAGGATGTATCCGCATGTATCCGAACAAATATAAAAGGTGCATCCAGGAGTGTCCAGGGGACGTCTGGATGTATCCAGGACTCGTCCACACGCATCCAGACCGCGTCCGGATCTATCCTCTGACGTATCCATGATGCGTCCGGATCTATCCTGACGTATTCACGATGCGTCCGGGCGCGTCCAGGCTCATCCACGATACGTCCGCACCAATCCAGGCTCATCCACGATACGTCCGGACCAATCCAGGCTTATCCACGATACGTCCG